TTAAATGTTCAGAGCTGTTAGTTCCGTCCTTCTCAGCCCTACATTTCCGCGCGACTTCGGTGGGAGGACAATCAGATGCTGGCGCTTTCTCCCTTACGCCTCACCCTGCTCCTTCTCCAAATGAAAACTCAGAGTTCAATGATTTTGTCCTCCCGGTGGTATCCCTGAAAGTCCCAAGGGCCGCCTCAGTCTTCTTGGGCATTTGGGTACAATGCTGAAGGCCATAGTGAGGCCCCCTTGTTTGGTCGATGGCCTCTAGCACGGCACCCAGAACCGGAAGAGTCCCCATTGAGCACCACGAGGGCCCCAAAGGCTCCCAACAGAGCTGCACGATGGCTCCAAGAGGCTTCCAAGAGGCTCCCAGATGGCTGAAGCGGGCAAAATGTATGTGCATACATGTACACACATGTACACATGTTGCAGCTGAAAGGATTGGCCACCCATCTGGCTTGATTGGCACCCGCCCTGCTTCACTCCTGACACCTCGCGATGGGCTGGTGGGGATACAAGAAGCGCGCAAAACTACGTCTTACTGCCTTGGGAGGTCTGGTAAGGAAGGGCCCGTTTAAGCTATTGATCACCCCTACCTTTGGGTAGTTCAAGGACAGGCGCGTCTCGCTGAGCTCTTTGCTGACCTTGCTCTTGAGCTCCCCAACGGCATCTAGCCGAGTGTCGTAACCGCACGCGCGGTCGAAGACGTGCAGCACCTTGAGCCTGTCACGCGTGAGCTCCTCAAACTCCCGAACGCTCACCTCCACGTTGGGCGGGTTCTGGTAGAACGACAAGCCCAGGTCGTCTGTTCCGAACGCGACGGCTGCGCTGCCGCGCGCCTGGCTGCCCTGGGCCACGGCGGCGCTGGCTGTGCCCGGTTGAGCACCGACTTTGGAGACGCGCTGCATCTCGTTGGGCGCCGCGGATCAGGAATCAGGAGGGCTGCTGGGAAGTGCTCGAGCTCACTGGGGCGGGCCGGCGGCTGGGTGGTCCCTGGAACCAAAATGGCTCTGACGATGGTGGAGACGGTGCAGCAGGCGCATGCCACATCTAGGGGCGCATCCCTCGCCGAGTCTGAGGTCCGTGGTGAGCCCCAGGCTCTGTGGGCCCGTCAGGAAATGGGGAGTTATCGCGGGGCACCTGTTGGCAGGCCAGCTTCTGCCTGAGCGTGCCTACTGCAGCGCTGGTGACATTGATGAAAACGACAGTGGATGGTGACGATGGTGACGACTGCAGCTGTAATGGAGGCGGTGACCCAGTGATGGCGGTGACAGCGAGCACGACAGGCACGATGACGAAGATGGCGTCTGCCATGACAACGTCGGTGATTTGGACTGTGATGATTCAGCGACGCTGCTAGCGAGGAGGGTGCTTACGTACGGCCAGGGGGGGGGCCTGGAACAGGCAAGTTAACCCTGGCCAACCCAAAAACACTCTCATTTGCTCAACTCCTTGAGCGTTCTCCATTGAGCGTCACTGGCTGTCAGCATTATAAAAGGGTCGCGGCGCTGTCGTCGGCACCCCCGTTCGGTCATACCACCAGCCATCTGAGCCATCTGGACGCAGGTGACTTAGAGCGCTTAATCTTCCAAGCTCTTTCTTCGCCCTGGGGTACGGCGTGCTCCCCTACCCCACGTCGCAATACAGTCAACGTGTTACCATAAGGGACGCCAAACAAGGCACGAAGGGCTTTCGAGCTGATCGTCCCGCATGCGCCTAATGTCAACAACTGGGGGAACCCTCAAGACGAAAACGCTGAAACATCGTACTGGGCGAAGCCTCGAATTTGAAAGTTTGGGCTGATCTCTTGGGACTTGTTCGGAATCTCGTTTGTGGTAGTCTGGGAGCTCTGCTGTTTCAGCCCTTTTTGCATATCCTTGGGCCCTGCTATGGCTTCTTGAAGCCTGGGGAGCCCTCCTGGAGTCGCCTTGCGACCAGCGCCGAGATAGGTGCAGCTGATCCTGTTGTCGGCTTGACGATTTGAAACTCTCGGGGGAGCCTCTTGGGATCCTCATGGGGCAATTTGGGTTCCTCACGGAAGTGTCCGTGACCGTCCAGGGTCCTGAAAACTTGCAGGGCCTCATGAGGAAGGAACGCGGGAAGGGAGGGTGTACTGCAGTATCGTTGTTGCAGTCTGGGCTTACTCTGGTCCTCCTCCTCCTCATCATCATCCACCACCTCCTCCTCCTCCTCCTCCTCCTCCTCCTCTTCCTCCTCCTTCTCCTCCATTCCTTCTCCTTATAGATGCCTCCTCCCTGTCGCACCCAAAGGCCGGTGGAAAGAGCGGGCTCGGCGTGTTGCCTGAGACTGCCTCACAACTTATGACCATAATGCCAAAACGTCGGCAACAGCGTCACGTATGGAGGGCGGGCTGCTTTTAAATGCTGTTATCGCCTTAGCGCCGCGCAAATTTTGTTTGACAATGCTCAAAGGCTTCACGGGTTGAGGGCGGGTAGATTTCAAAATGTTTCTCTCGCCTTAGCGCCGCGCACATTCGTCTAAAAGACTGCAAGTGCTTCACGGATTGAAGGCGGTGCGTTTTCATAATGTGGCTCTCGCCTTGGCACCTCGCACATTCGTTTTGAAGATTTGAAATAGGCTTATGGATTGGAGGCGGGTCGTTTTCAAACTGTGGCTCTTGCCTTAGCGCCGAGCACACTCGTCTTAAACAATTGCAATGGTTTCACGGATTGAGGTCGGGTCATTTAAAAAATGTGGTTTTCGCCTGAGCGCCGCACGCATCCGTCATAACAACTTGCCAGGGATTCATAACTTGAGAGCGGATCGTTGGAATATGTGGCTCTCACCAAAGCACCGCGCACATGCGTTGTAAAAACTGTAAGTGGTTCACGGGTTGAGGCGGTCGACTTTCGAAATGTGGTTATCGCCGTAGCGCCGCTGAGGGCGGGTCGTTTTCAAGGTGTGGCTCTCGCCGTAGCGCCGCGCAAATTCGTTTTGCAAAAACAGAGCGAACGCCACGGCTTATCATGATTAGTTTACCAGAATCGGCGTGTTGGAAATAAATTGTCAGGGCATAAATTGTTTGTTGATCTATGGTGCTGAAGCCCCGGGAACGGAGCTCTGGCACAATTCAGGATCGCCAAGGAGCAGCAATCAGGTCAACTCGTGGCGATGGAATCCAGAGAATGATGTTCTGGTACGCTTCAAGGATGTTCACACGGTCGTCCCCCAAAGGGGCACCTCCGTCAGTGGAAATGGCCCGCTGTAGGGGCCTATCAACAGGGATCTTGGAGGGAGAGTGTATTTCGACATCGTTGATGGGTCTTGGGTTTACAGTGGTCCACCTACTCCCTCCTCCTCCTCCTCCTCTTCTTCCTCCTCCTCCTCCTCCTCGTCCTCCTCCTCTTCCTCCTCCTCCTCCTCATCATCATCATCATCATCCCTCCCTCCTTCCCTCCCTCCCTCCCTCGCTCCCTGTTTCCCCCTGACTTCCATGCCCCTCCCTCCTCCTCGTAAATAGCAGCAGGAGGCCGTCCGCGGCAGAGCACGCTAGTGCGGATGGGCGCAGACAGATGCCGCCACAAACCCGCCGCAAGTCCTTCTCGCCCTCGTAGCTCTGCGCAGTAAAGCTGTCCACGGTGATGTTGAGGCTTCGGAGTGCCTTGGCCGACCATCGAGGCGACAGCCGATGCAACACACCCTCCCTCATCGACCATCGCCCTCCTTCTCCCCCGTCCTCCGTCCTCGTCATCCGTCCTCGTCCTCCGTACTCCTCCTCCTCCTCCTCCCTCCTCCTCCTCCTCCTCCTCCTCCTCCTCCTCCTCCTCCTCCTCCTCCTCCTCCTCCTCCTCCTCCTCCTCCTCCATTCCTTCTCCTTATAAACTCCTCCCTGTCGCACCCCGAGGCCAGTTTTTAGGACGGGCCGCGCGTTTCGCCTGAGACTTCCTCACCATTGATGACTCTGAAACTCATAAGTGACAAAAGCTTCACGGATGGAGGGTGGGTCACTTTCGAAATGTTGCTCTCGCCGCAGCGCTGCGCACACTCGTCTTACAAATGTCCAAGAGTTTCACGGATTGAGGGCGGGTGGTTTTCATAGTGTGGCTCTCGCCTCAGTGCCGCGCACATTCGTCCTCAAAATATGCAAGAGTCAAACGGATTGAAAGCAGGTGGTTTCCAAAATGTAACTCTCGCCTTTGCGCCGCGCACATTCGTCTTCAACCTTTCCAAGAGTTTCGCGGATTGAGGGCGGGTGGCTTTCAAACTGTGGCTCTCGCCTGCGCGCCGCGCACACTCGTCTTGAAAATTTGCAAGAGCTTCACGGATTGAGGGCGGGTCGTTTTCAAAATGTGCCTCTCGCCTTGGCGCCGCGCATACTCTTTTCTTATCGGAGGTGAGGGGGGGAGATCGAAGTGGAACGGAGAGCCCCCCTACCGGGAAATCGATTTCGATTTCGTGTTCGTGCGTGCCGTGCGTGCGGGCGAGGCGAAGCTGCGTGGGAGGGCGACAGAAAGTCTCCTGTGGCTGAGGCGCGGCCGGACCAAATGATTCCCTTCCGGGCGGCCGGGGCCCCGCGGTGTCCCGCCGGTGTCCCGCTGGTGTCCCGTGTGGCTGAGGCGCGGCCGGACCAAATGATTCCCTTCCGGGCGGCCGGGGCCCCGCGGTGTCCCGCCGGTGTCCCGTCGGTGTCCCGTCGGTGATGATGATGATGATGATGACGATGATGATGATGATGTTGACAACGATGATGATGATGGTGATGATGATGGTGGTGATGTTGGTGAGTTCGGTAGTGAGATCGATTTTGGGACCGAATGTGAGATCGATTGTGAGATCGATTGTGATATCGATAGTCGATAGTGAGACCCAATGTGAGATCGATAGTGAGATCGATAGTGAGTTCGATAATGAGATCGATAGTGAGACCGAATGTGAGATCGATTGTGATATTGATTGTGATATCGATAGTGAAATCGATAGTGAGATCGAACGAGAAGTCGATCATGACTTCGATAGTGAGTTCGATAGTGAGATCGATAGTCAGATCG